CTCACAATACATTTGGGAACATAATAATTAGAATATTTTTATGAAATTAGGTTATTTAATTTCATTTAGAATTATAATAATCTCTAGAACACAAACATTTAGGCAAGCACCATAAACAGTAAAATTTAAACTTTAACATATACCAACTTAAAATTATAACAATATCTAGAACAGGGGTCTCTAAACTTTTTTATTCAAGGGCCACAAAAAAATCAAATGCTCTTAGCGGGCCAAAAATTTATTAACATTTAACACATATAATTTTTAATTTTATAATAATATAGGTACCTACCTATATAAAATATAATATGTTTACTTTATATTTTTGTTTAAAATATTGTTTACTTTACAATATACTTAGATAAAAATAAATAGGTATAAATATAATATAATATAAATACATTTTTGAAATAATTTTTTTATTTATATTTACCTATGCGTCCTATGCGGGCCACGGGCCGGTTAAAACTTGTTCGCAGGCCGTAGTTTGGAGACCCCTGATCTAGAATACAACTCACAAGCATTTTAGCATGCACCATAAACACTAATATTTAAATACAAACCTATGATATTCAAAAAAAAAATATAGAACACAACAAGCCTGGGCAAGTTAATGAAAATTTTTAACTGAGTTAAGTTAAGTTAATGGAAAACATTTTAAAAAGTTTAAAGTTAACAGTTAACCTAATTTTTTTTTTAACTCAGTTAAGTTAAAAGTTATATGAATATTTTCAATTAACTTATTAACTTAAGTTAAGTTAATTTTTTTTTTTTCATAATACAGTAAAACTTCCGTAAACGGTCACCTCTATGTAATGGTCAATTTTTTTGGTCCCGTCGAGAGTTATCCTACATCTGTAGGACGGTCACCTCTAAATAGCGGTCATTATTTACAGACCCTTTGGTGACCGTTATGTGGAAGTTCTACTGTATCTATATAAATACCCAGTAATATGGTTTAAAATAATAAAAATCATAAATATTATTGAACACATGAAATAGCCAATAGCTTTTCTATACATAGGTAGGTACTGAATTAATAGAATAATTCTACCTACCCATAATTATTATATAGTAGGTACACAATTCACACAAATCACTGAAACGCGGTATTGTAAATCCGAAATCGTGTGTTGCGTGCTGATAGAGCCGAGAACGAAAAGTGAACCCATGTGGGCTATGAATATTTTGTCTACTGACAATATTGACTGTTTATAAATATAAACATTTGAAATATAAATGTACATGGGCATAACCCAATTAGTTTTAATTTAAAAATAACCTATTTATGCCGAAAATATTTTACATTATGTTCTTCAGAATTGTACATTTTTGATTTGTATCTATATCAAAATAATAAGATAATAGGTTTATCATATTACTTATTAGTTATTAGTATTTATTAATTATTATTATTACAATATGCCCGTATGCCGCTGTATGGTACGGTATATCTTTATATATACGATACACCTCTATGTTATAATATAATTGGCTATTGGCTATTGCATATTGCTACATCTATATGTATTTAATCGAGTTATTTTTCTTGAAAAATTCTGGTTAACGGAACAAGAAATTAATTTAACTATATTTGTAATTTCCTATTCTAATAAATGGTTATGTAATATCAATAATAATTTTTTTTTTATTATATTTATTATTTAATTATTTATAAATTAACTTAACTTGAATTTGATTAAAAGTAACTCGTTATTTATTAAGTTTATATCAATTAAAATAAGTTAAGTTAAAAATTAAGTTAATGAAAATTAAATTTTAAAAAGTTAAGTTAAAAGTTAAAATTAACTTAACACGTAGGCTGCGTATGTCTTTTTGCAGTTATCACCCAGTGCGTATGATAAAAGTAAAAACAAAAGAAATTAAAAAAAAAAAATATAAAGAAACTGCTCATAACGACGTATGTATACATATTTAAAAACATGCGTTTAATCCACGCTAAATAATAATAAAATAACATTCAGCCACGCGTAGGGAATTTTAAACCATTTTTTTTAAATGTATATTAGACGCCATATGGCGTCAAACTCGTTGCTGAATGATACTTATTACGCCAATTGGCGTCAGTACGCAGTGAACGTGTTAACTTTAACTTTTTAACGCGTTTATGCCCAGGCTTGGAACACAACATAGAAAGCATTTAGAATTTTTGGTTTATTTGTGTACCTTTAACAGGGCCTCTTGAAGCAAATATAGCTATTGGTTGTGTGAAGTTGGCAGAAAAACTCTGAAAAAGAAATACTAACCCATGGTTAGCTTTTAACCCTGATGTTGGTGCCTCACCACCAAAATCTTCTAAACCCTTATACGTTAAATTTTGAGAATCAAAATTTACACTCTCGCGAACAAATATTTCGTCAAATAACAACATCCCATGTCTTTGCTCTGGTCTTAGCATTTTGATTTTTTTTTTAAATAACTGGAAAAATTGTTCATCAAAACCACATTTTGTTTTTACCAGTTGCAAATATCTCCTAATTGTCCGTATGCAAGGTAAGGGTAAAATATCTTGGTCTCTTAAAAAAGAATATTATGTAGCCGAAGATCTGCAAATAAATAAAAATGTATTTGTTATTCCTTAAGTCTACAATAATTACATTATATTATAATTCAAACTTACCGAATTTTCAACAAAACACATAAAAGAATCCAACCTTCAGAATACTTTCTATTTTGTTTTTGTCCGAATTTACTTGAATTTATTATTTCTTTGACTAAAATTTTTTGAGGTTTACTTAACTTTTCTGAATCTAAAATATGTTGTACACATTCATTTGATATTGTCCGAGTTTTTTCTTGAAGTTCTCCTAATTCAAAATTGATATTTTTAATAATAGTCCGTAACCTGAAAATTATGAATCAATACCAATGCATTATATATTACCTATAATTTAAATCAAACCTAAAATTGTACATCCTAATTATGCATTTAAATAAGTTTAAATAAATATGTAATTAATAAAGTATTGAATTTTATAATATATTACCTTGTATTGGATTTTTACAAATTTTTTTTATCACTTATAATTTTTTCTACTATTCTACGTCTTGTTGGTGTAAGAGTACATCCAATATATGTTGATTGTTTCACTTTATTCAACGAATTTCTAAAACATTTAATTAAGTTGATGCAGGCTGAACATGTTTTTTTTTCTCATTTAAAATTCTACATTTTTGGTGACGACACAATTGATTATTTTCCAAGGTTGCAGTTCTTATCCGAACTCCTGAAATCATATAGGTACATAATCAACAAAGTATCTGGTTATCAATATATCTAATACATCTAATAAAGTATCATTTTATAATTGTATTTTATTGGCAAAATGGATAGGAATAATGTTTACCTGGAAAATCTATTGATCTTAGACCACCTACACACATTGTTTTTAAATCAAGTATTTTAATTGCTTGAGATAGATTTGTTAAGCTAATTGGATATTTTAAAGTCTTGCTTATATTTTCAATTTCAATGGTATATTGATAAACATAAACACATATTTCCAATGTACTTTTAAAAACTAGTTGTTTTTCAATTTTCATTTTACCATCATCAAACTTTGGTTTATAAAAAACAATATCATGTTGAGTAACATGTGTTGTCCATCCTCCTGGTAATATGGCTTTTCTAAAATGTATTCTTAGGTCATTAAATGTGAATAGCTCATCAATAGTTTCCTAAAGGAATCAAGTTTGAAAGAAATATATTATATTATTTAATATTAAAATAATTAAATTAAAAACTATACTTCAAATAATTTTAATCGTTTATTCATGGGCTCTCCATTTAACTCAGCTGGTTCAATATCTATATTTTCAATGAATAATTCTCTACGAACTGATTTGTTAACTTGTTTACTTAAACACTTGGCATAGTTGTGATCAGAAATCAAATTATTGACGGAAGATATAATGTCATTACTCGTTTTGTCAACAGAAGAAAAAATGGAAGGAACGACCCCCTTTTTCAATCTAACTAAATCTGACTTTCCGAAATACTATAACATAAAACAATTAAATAATTATGTATCAACAAATTAAATAAAAGTAGGTAGGTACATAATACTTACATCGGGAATATCGGGTGGTAACAAATAGGTATTTATTGTATCTTCAGGTCGAAAATGTTCGGCACATACAAATTTTACAACCGTTTCCTCACAGTTAGCATTACTCACTGCTAATTTCCAGGGAGCAAATTTTCATTTTGAGCGGTGTCATCGGAACATTGCCGCTGGTCGAAACACCAGCGTTTGTTTACGTAATAATTATTTCATAAATTTCTTATCGGTTTATCACAATTTTTGGTAATAAACACTAAATGATAATATGATTTACCATTTACAATATAATAAATGATAATTTCATATTGATAAACTTGGCAAAGAAGATTTTTTCTCAAATAAAATCATAAAAACGTTAAAAATTATTATCGAAATATGTATATTATGCTATCGGTGGGCCAAAAATTATTATACTTTAATAGTATTTTTTACTTAAAATTATAGGTTAGGCGGCGCCTCACTCGCGTCACCCCCAAAACCGCCACTGCAGTATCTAGCCGAGCTCTATAGTCCGACAGTTGACAGTGCAACAGTGTGGCAGTACTTATGTTTACTTGGTGGAGTAATTCCTCGACGGTTGACAGTATCTATCGTGACTGTCGAGTGTTTCTGTCGCCGTATTTATGATAAGGAGGTACCTACCACCACAGAACAGTTCTGTGCACGGTCTTAGAAGATATCTTCTAAGACCTTGGTTCTGTGGTACCTACCACGTTTCTACACGTTATCTACGTGTCTTGTGATTACTGGTTTTGTGTTTATTATTTCGTCTCTCGGGGCCGTCGCCGGTTTGTAACGTCGAGTGTCTCGACTAGTGACTCGTTTGCACTTGACGCCGTTTTTGCGTTTCGAATTTTTTCGTTTGATCAAAATTTTATATTTTTCTAACCGACCGTTCCGTTCCGTGTCGTCATCATGGTGTTTGTATGCATGGTGAGAGGTTGCAAAAATTCTAGTAAGTTGACAATGAAGAAATGCAAACGGTTTAGGATACCTTCAGACGAATCACGGTGAGTTTGACCTAACCCGTCACTAATGCATATAAATTAGGCACACTTGTCGTATGCTATCCACCCAGTGGCGTACGCAGGGGTAGGGTTCTAGGGTTCTGAACCCCCTCCCCCATTGCTAAACATCTGTCATTACCGTCGTATGGTGTATCGTCATGTATCACCGTCCATCGATAATTACCACTTATTATGACCCGAAGAGGCTCTATATAGGTGGACCATAGGTGTCAAGATTGAACACTCGAGTGTTCTTAATGTAGACTACATTTGAGACTAATTATAATTTATTATAACCAATTGCATAAAAACTATTTAGAAAAAAATAATGTAAATTATTTACTCAGGTGAAACCCTAACCGAACTAAAATCCTGCGTACGCTACTGAATCCACCTACAAATTGTCGATGTCGTATGCTATCTACCGTGTCTGCGTTATCTACCGTAATCCGTATTAACGGTGTCAATATTATATATATTTTATAATTGCTTAAGGAATTTCAAAGTTATTTTGTATTTTAGATTTTAGTATGTGCAGTTCGTTGATCGCTGATCGTTGTGTGTTTTTCATTAATTGTAAATTTATGACTTTATAAAATGAGTACTTTGGGTGAATTATATAGGAAAATTATTTTTAATGACGAAACTCGAATACGATTTTTAAAACATCGTGATTTATTACCTAATACAAAACTGTGCACAAAGTTAAATTCTATTGGAGATCAATGTAATGGTGGAATGAAAGAAACTTTAAAAAAATCTGAAAACTTGATGTGAAAGGAGATTTTATAATTACAAAATATTTACGATGTAAAAAAAAGGTTGTCAAACATTTATTCAAAGGGTTGTCATAACATCCGTTTGTTTGGTAGATAGCATATGACACGTATGCGTAGATTTTTGTAGATATGATTTTCTTGTAGATAGCATATGACACTTGTGCTATAAATTATAATATATTATGTAGGTATATGTATCTAATTATAATTTTAACAATTTAGTCGTAGGAATTGGCTGAAGAGTTGTAATCGCCTTGACTTATTAGAAAAATCATCGTCTTATCATGTGTGTTCAGACCATTTCGAGGTCCAAATGTACAAAACCCCTGAACGAAAAAAATTATTGCCTACTGCTGTTCCTACTGATTTCTGTAATTATAATTTTACATATTACCTAATATCTTATACTTCACTGATTATTATTTATTTTTATAGCAATGATCTCTAAAGAAGATACATTAAAACCTCGATTAAAACAAAAGAAGTCAGTTTCTGGTTCTTGTAAGTTTTTGTCATTATGTAAATATTATTAGTACCTACCTACTTTATTAGTAGGTAATATATAATATGATATATTTTTTTTACTATTGTAAAAATATATATAAATATTTATAACACACATTTATATTATTATTATATATTTACTTTTTAGTTAATAGGTCTATGCAAAAAATATTGTGCATATTTTTTTTTTCAAAAAATGGTAGTAATTTTTAAAATAATGTGTCATATTACGTTCATAAATCATCCTGTATTTAAAATCTATCAACTATTTTCAATAAAAATTATATTTAATTAGTAAAAAATAAACATGTTCAATGTTGTTTATTAACAATTAGGAAAATATAAGAAAATTAATTTTTATTGAGATTCTTATTTATTCTGTCTGATATTATATACCGTCAATATTGAGGTGACTTTGACATATATCTTAGTATTATGAGCAGGGCTCGGGACTTAAAGCACTTAAAATCATTAAAATAAGCGCTTAAATAAGCACTTAAAAACATCATTATAAGCACTCAAATAAGCATTTAAAAAACTTAAATTTAAGCAAAAATGTTTATTAAAAAAAAAACAATAAAATAAAAAATAAAACTTTATCTTTATATTACAAAAAAAATTAAACTTAATTTTCAGGACTGAGGATTTTATGGATTTTCCAAGGGATTTTCTGAAAAATAAAATGTAAACAATATTTACAAATAGTTGAAAAAAAATTAATTTTTTAATAAATTTTAATAAATTTTTTATTTAAATTATTTTTAATTTTAATTCTATCAAAAACAACTTTGCAGTAGAAAATCATAAAAAAGTATAAAAACTGGTCAAAAAAGCAATAATTATCAGAAAAACTTGAAATAAGCATTTTTTTGAAAAATCACTGAAAAAAGCAAAAAAAAGCACTCTCAAATTTCATAATTGAATGTGTTGTAACATGACATACACTTGTATAGCACTCTGCTACATTTTAAGTCAATCTATAAAAATAAGCAAATGCTTTAAGTCCCGAACCCTGATTATGAGCCTAAAAAAAATCGCACTAGGCTACAAAAATTTTATTTATTCCCGCATACGTCTAAAAATTAGACGTATGCGGAAATAAATTAGACTAATGAATAATAGAATAAGCCCTTTCATTAAGTTTTTTGACCAAAACTGGTTTAAAAAAAAGTAAACTGCATTTTATGTATTTTATGTGTTTTAATAGTGTGACAAGTCATTTTTAGATTTTTTTTTTAAAAATAAAACTTATACAATTAGGAAAAAAGAAATCTATAGTTTGTATTACAATATTATTCTTTTGAAGTACCCTTTAATGTATAAAAAATATACAAACTCCTAAAAATGAAGACAAAGAACAAAAAAAAAACCTATAGATGAAAGCAAAAGAATGAATCAAAGTAGTGGTAATTATTTAGTTATTTTTAAATTAACGTAACCTCTTTTTTTTAAAACAAAGTATATAAATATTATAATTGATTAGACAAGAGGAAAAGAGATGCCTACTTTGTAAAAGTTACAAATTTCCTAATATTTCCAGATAACTTTTTCTTTTCTATCTGTATAATATGTTTGTACTTAGTAGTTATAACTTTGTTGTATGATTCCTACATGGTAAATATTTAATTTTACTATCCAAGAAAGCTATTCTATCCCATCAAATTTTTTATAATTTTTCTTTTATGTCTTTTTTTAGGTAGTAGCAACAGTTCTAGTCAATCGTTTGAAGAAGCTGATATTACAGAACTAATGAAATTGGGATATTCTAGAGAGGAGGTAAATTATAATTAAATACAGATAAAAATATAAAATAATGGCTATGTCTAGATGCTTGTAGGTAAGATGAGTTATACTGACCATTGTCAACAACATACCTACAAAAATTAACAGAATACAATTATTATATATTATTTTGGCATAATATATTCGTAGATCCTAGTATCTAATGACTATTGACTAATATAGTTTATTATATTTGGTTTCATAAAATCAACTTGTAACTATATAATTTAAAAATTAAAAAATAAAACTATAAAATTATGTAAAAAATTGTGTGTTTGTACCACAACTTTCGATATTTATAAATACTTTACAAACAATTTAAAAAAAAACCATCCTGTACCTAGTATACCTTTAAAATTTTTGGCCGAGCAAAAAAAAAAACATTTTTATCAACATAATATATTTTATTATGAAAAACTATAATGAAAAATTTAATTTTGTACAAAAATAATAATATTTAATTAGCGGTAAAAGTTTTTGGCTTCTACTTTTTTTACTTACATGATAATAACAGTTAGGTATCAATTGAGAAAAAATCATTAAACCAAAGCAATTTTTTTTTTTTTTTTTGGTGGGAGGTTGAACTGAAGCCTCTCCACACATTTTCTTAAAAATTAACCACATGGAGTTTTAATCTCAGAGAATTCATTGCCTATAGGCTATAATTATTGTAAGACACAATAAATAACAAAATAATTATTTTTACTCAAGTTTTATTTTAATTTTATAATAATTACTAATGAAAGTGTTTGTGACTTATTTCAAATTTAAAGTCACATGTATCTAAAAGTTACAAAATATCTTATGCATTGACGGTGAAAATGTGCTTACAACATTTTACTGAGCAATATGATAAATTATGTATTATTATTTATTCATATTGAATTTATATTACATGAGTTAGAAGATTAGTTTATAATATGCCTGTTAATGCCTAGTAAATATAATATCCAATTTCCCATGATTGCGTCAAGTAAAGCAAATGCTTATAGTTTTTTTTAACAAGAATGGGAAATTAGTAAAAAGTAAAAATCAGTAAAAATTTTGGTCAACATTTTTCTTGGACATATAGCTTGAAATATAATACAAAGATCCCCTATGTATGAATAGTTTTTTTTTTTTTTTAAATTAATAATTGTTTAATTATAAGTTGATATCACAAACTCATTTATATAATATATCTTATAACAAAATAATATATTATTCAATAATTATATTCTGTTAATTTGTGTATGTAAGTAATTGACACTGATTAGCCCTTCTATAGCTTACCGACCATGGTCGGCCATATATATTATCTCACCTACTCAGGTGACTAGAAGAACAACATTAAATAATATTCTAATTAAATACATATTAAATACAATAATATAATTCATGATATGTTCTGATTTAATTGTTGTATATAAATAATGTAATGATACCTGGAATAATCTATAAAACTAAATACTATTCTAATACTTTTATAAACATTAAAAACTATAAGAAAATTACCACTTGGTACAAGATGGTCAGGGCCAAGGGGCCACTTTTTGTGTTCCCGACTATTATATTGGTGAATTAAATTGAGTGTTTTAATTAACATTCTTAAGAAAAATATCCACAACAATTAAAAGATTTATATACAATCCAATAAATGTAATCATTGATACATTTGTCATAAAGTAATTATTGGATGTCACACTTTAAAATAAACTCTTAAATTATAAGTGGGTACAGTTAGGTAAATTTGTTTGAAGATTTGTATCACTAAAATATGTTTAAAAATATTTATTCATTTTTATTTTATTTCCTTAACAAAATTATTTACAATATAGAATACAATAAATTGGAACAATGAGTAAATTTGATAAATGGTTATTGACAGGAGATTGCAATTGTGGCAGGCGCACAACAGTGCCACCAGGTTAAAAATATTGACATTTTAGTTTTATATTTTTAAACATTTGAAAGTATAATAATGTTTGCCAAGTCGGATAAACTTCAAAGATATCCCAACCTCATATACACCTATAACTTATTAGCCTATTCTCGTACATTTCAAAAATTTTCAGAAGACTTATTCTCAGACGAATTTCTCCACATTTTCTATCAAACAATACACTTCCAACTTCTCAATTTAGTTTTAGAGCCAAGCATAGCAAGATTCATCAAGTTCATAGAGTAGTTGATACTTGGTGCCTTTTTAAGTATCTCTCAGGCTTTCAACAAAGTTCAGAATGAAGGCCTCCTTTTTAAACTCTGCACATTTTTCCCCCCTATAATATTACTAAATTCTATGTTACAGACAGTCATTTACAAACAACCTAACTGAAAAAACCAATCCCTGGATTGTGTTAAAATCTGTATTCTTTACATTTATTATACATATTTCCGGGCTGAGATACACCTTCATAGATATGAGATTATTATACTAAATACACAAAGTAGGGAAGTACACTAGGAGCATACTGTCCAATTTGTCCATGATGTGAGGTTAACTATTATAAACTTGCCTGTGATTTAAAGGTGTGGATGGATGCAACTACCTATCCTAATAAATAATATTATAAAATATACATACCTAGGTTGTACACTAAATTTAATTCAAATATTATAAAATAAATATATATTTTTTTTTTAGGTTATTCAAGAATTAAAAAGATTCAATGGAAATAAAAATCAAGCAATGGCCTCTTTATTTGCAAAAATATTAAAATTTTGACAGTTGTCAGAAATTTTTTAACAAAATTAATATAACATTTCTATTTTTTAGTCCTTTTTTGTTTCAATTTTTAAAACTTATTTTTCAAAATATGCTTATTAACCACACTGCTAATATATTCAATGTAGTTTTTGCATTAAGTACCTAAAATATTGTGTTCAAAACAAAATATGCTCAATTGTATAAAATAAAAATAATAATTTAAAAAATCATTATGTGTTATAATTTATTTGCAATATCACTTTGTACTCCTTATTTTTCTAATATTTTATAATAGTAGTACCTAATGATGAACAATGCAATACTCAAATGAGTTTAATTTTAGAGAGACCCTATCGGTCGTTGGATATTCAGATCTATTTTTTTGATTTGTCTTTCTGCAATTTCAGTACATTTTGTAGGGAAAGCCATTACTATCCATAACCATATTACAGATTTTCTGATTTTTGTGGTATGCAGTAAATCGGTCAAGTGAAGTAAGCTAAAATTAGTTTCACATTTTTTTTTAATTTTACAATATTATTTGAAGATCATATTTAACGATTAATGATAATACAATTTGAAAATTTAGATAAATTACCTATACAGTATACATTCATTTTGATAACTAAGGTTTTCATGTTTTGGGTTGTAACTAATAACGTTACGAAAGTAACTCGTTATATAATTTAGTTAGAATTGTTTCCATGTAATGAAAATTACTTTTTATACATTTTCGAGGGTTGTGAATTAAATTGCGTGCGGGAACTTATTTAGGGGGGGGGGGGTGGGCCCTTTTTGCTTACATTTGTACGTACAAAGTTTGCAAAGTTTTACATTTGTATGACGGAGACAACACATTGGGGTATAGCGTCCTCTTTAAACATTTCTTTAGTTCGGCGTTTCTTAAACTGTTTTATCCGTGGAACCCTTTTTTATTATTACAAATAATCTTAATATTGGGCTTTGTTGATGAAAGTTGTATTCTCATATTAGGTTCGGCATCATTTCGGTATTTTGTTTTTGTTAGTACATATAGGTGCTGAACCCCGTTTCACACATATAAACGTGTGTGAATGGTAAAAGTTCCAACATGGCCTTTTGTGACAATTGAGGATAGGTATTCATCTTTTGAAATGCACCAACCTGACCCTGGGGTTCCGATGAACACGGTTTAAGAAACGCTGCTTTAGTTGATGGTCAAAATAATATTTCAAGGTTTAAGTATCGTAAGTTGTATGATGAAAAACGATTCTGAGCCCGAGGCAGTCCGTATTCAACCTATATAGTAATATTGTTCTATGATAATATTGCAGTGTCAATAAAATGTTAATTTGACCGCGGTGTTTTTATCAAATCTAAAAATGATAAGATAATAATGTTCACGGTGCACGGTGATAATATCAATAAACGATAGTGATAAGTGATAACAGACGTTAATCGGTGCGTTCTGTTTATCTCACAAACTTTTGCAAAAATCAGTATTCAGTAGTCTGTAGCTCGCGATATCCAAAAAAGTCTCTTTCTCTTGTTTCAAGCACTGAAGGACGGACCCACGGCCCTACGACGGACGCACACGAGAGAACTCTTGAAGCCGTCGAAAGCTAGCGTGTCGCCTAGAACGGTGGACTCGAGTATTCGACCACCGATGCTCTGAGTGAGGTACGTAATGAAAACGAAATATTACAATATTATTGTCGACCAGCAGCGTCCACCAGAGTAAAAAAGAAACTCCTGTCGTGTATGCAGTGGATCGCTGGCTGTTTATTTCCCCACTAATCAGTCATTCGTGTGATTGCATTTGTTGTAGGTACCTTTTCACTATCGGTCTGTGACGAACACTTTTGTTTGCTGCAGCCACCTTTCCATATGATTGCTTTGCTGACATGTTCGAACGTGGCGCCATCGATACGATGATTGAACCCGACAAGCCTGCTGATGAAATGCTGTCGGATTGGATCCAGTGCATTTGCGTCGTTACTTTTGACCTGGAGTCTTGCCTGGCGGTGGAGGTACCTATTATTTATTGTGACTTCCTGTGCGCATTTACTGGCTGGCTATATTGTAATACCTATCCGTGTTTCTGTTGTATTTTTTTTCTTACCTAGTTGACCTACCCCAACGACAACAAATTATTCGAGGAAGTCAAAACTAACCTCTGTTACCTTGGAAACAACTCCAATTCCAGATGCATGGGAGTGAATCAAATAAATGTCAAGAAAAATTGTTCTCAACCTTCAAATGTCAGTCAACGCCATATAAACAATATTGCTTTTTTACAAGCTGATCTTCGTTGTTTGAATGGGTTTGTTTTCTTTCGACAAATCAAACATATGTCTCTTTCACATGGATATTTTCAAAAAGTATTTTTAACCGTTTGTTTTATTTAATACACTAACTTTTTATAAGAATAAAAAACAGTATGTCATGCTTACTTATTTAGAAATGAATTTACATTATTTATACCTAGGTGAAAAAAAATTCTATTTGGGTAAAAGACCAATTAAATATTAGTACATCTCTAAATAACTTCAATCACTTAGTAAATGGTGTTTTAATTTTGTTCTAGATTTATTAGCCTTGTACATATTTTTAGTATGAAATATGTTACATTATCTACATAATGGTATGTTCTCTTTGTAGGTCACAAATAATGTACATAAGTTGATGCATTGATTGTTGTGTCATATATATTCGTGTATCGTAAAATAAGTGCCTACTAATAATTGTAAATTATTTTATCTAAAAAATTGAAGTGTATTTTTAAGTATAATATGTTATGATATATGTTTAGTTATAAACTGGCCTACTTCATGGTTTTTCAAATGCTGCCCAAGATTTTAACTTTTCACAAGGTTTTGATTGTATGCTTCTTCTGAGGCATTTCCTGCAACACCAGATGCTATTAAAGAACTCCACTTGTTATTGATGGTAAGCACACAGTTTGCAATTACATTGCAACATCCAGCAAATAAGTAAATTATAATGTTTAATTTTATTAAATGAGTTTAAATACCAACAATAATTTTCATAGGTTTTATCAATGTAAGCTGTTGATAAATCAACAAGTTAAAGGCTTAATTTTAGCTTAAATTTTTTGTTTTTATTCAGCTATACAGGATGTCCCACCGAGATGTGACAAAAAAAAAAAAAAACTTACTACTTAAACGTATGACAAAAATTGTTAGTACTATGTGATTACCAAATAATTTAAGAAATATACTCATGTCGGCAAATTTCTAAAAATAATATTTTTAAAAAAGTTATTACATTCCAAAATAATTTAATAAAAAAATTATAGATATTTAAAAAAATTAAATTACTTGACTTATATAAATGTTTTTACCATCAAAATTGTTCTTATAATCAGGTTCACAAATTGGCTATTTTAAATTTATATAAAAAATTTTAAATCAAATTATACATTTTTTATTTTCAGTATTAAAAAATAAAAATAATTTTTTGTATATTATACGTGTAGCGTGAGTGGCTATAAATTATATAAGTTAAAAAAAAATATTTAAATTTTGTATTTAGCAAAAGTTATGTCATTTGTCAGATCTCGGTGGGACACCCCGTATATCTCTGGAAATGTCGATTCTACATCTGAAGTTTCCAATAACTACACTCAAATAATTTAAAACCATTATATAAATAAAATAAGCAATTATATTGTAATTAAGTACATACTTTGTTACATAGTTTCCCGTTGGCTTATGCAATAATATCAAGGAAGACACAAGAAATATATTATAAAAAGTTGCTGTCATATATTAGAAATGTATTACCGTTAATATACAGCCAACACACAATAAATGGTGACTATGAATTTAGTTTGACGAATGGGGTTAAGATTATATTCCCTGAAATAAATCAAGCATCAAGGATGATATTTCCATTTTTGCCAAGTATGTATATAAAACAGTTCAAATATAATTTGTGTCAGAATAACATATATATGTTGTACTTTTCGTTTTAGGCAATAATACGCTATTTTAGAAATAAAAAAACTAGCATTTACAATCTCATCAAAAGGAATCCAATTGCTGCACGAGGGTTGAAATTGGTGATTCATGAATATTGGTACAATAGATATAACTTTTTGTTTAATTTAAAAATAAATTAGTATAAACTAATTACTTACAGGTTTTAGCTTTACCATAACTGCCTGCAGTAATAACGGACAACTTTTCTTCAATGGAGGATGGATTTCAAAGAATTGTAGATTATGTGAACCAATTTCCCAATTTTTTGATGTATTGTGATTGATTTTTATTTGATTATATTTGGATGTATTGGTTTGAAACGATGAAACCTACTGCAATAACTGTTTACAGAAGAGATATTTGAACAAATACCTTTGTTGAAAATTACCACGCTTCAATGTTAAGGCTGATTAAACCTCATCCCAAAGTGTGGGAATTCCTTAGTAGTACTTAAATAATAATTATTACTTTTGTTCTTAAATTTGAACTAACCGTGGCAATTTAATTTATTATGTGTCTGTTTAAATTGAGTCTAAAAAATATATTTTGTTTTATTATTTTTGCAAGTAAATTACAAATTATTTTGTAAGGTATACTGGTTTAGGGGTTACGGTTATACTGGTTTTCTAATTTTTTGGGGAAATAGCAATAACTTATGATAATTTATACTTATTTTATTTATAGATCAGCTATTGTTCTTACAAAATCAGTCATTCATTGAATTCAGACAAGTGAAACAGAATACAAAGTTGAATACCAAGTTTTCTGAAAATAAAAATTGTTGCAATTAATACTTTTCAAATGTTTAACAGATTCAAAATTTAGTTTCAACACGGATGAGAACAGCTTATACAAAAACAGTTGAAGATTACCTAACAGATTTGACTAAAGATTTACATACAAATCAACTGTTAACATTTTTGAGACGAGCTGACACAGTGTAGATGGATATATTACACAATAATTTGGTCCAAGTGTGTTATAATTTATAATATTATAATATTTTTATTAAATGTTTAATATTCATCAATAGTT